CGAAATTGCTTGCGTTGGAGCTGTTTGAAAACTGCAGTAACCACATATCCACCAAAATCCTCTTGAGAGCACAGAGGTGGTATTTGCACCCAGCTGATTCCAATGAACTTTCCCTGATTAGTGGTCTACATCTTGCATCCATATTCGGGATTGTTGAGATTGTAGCCGGTCTGGTAGAGGTGGAAGGTTGTGGTATAAACCAAAAGGACTGTACGGGTAGTACACCTCTCGTATGGGCTGCTTTGAATGGGCACGAGGGAGTGGTGGAAATACTGCTTGGGCAGGAAAGCGTCAAACCCGACGAACAAAACAAGTACCGCCAAACACCACTCTGGTGTGCTGCCGGGAATGGACACGAGCGGGTAGTGAAGAGGCTGCTCGGCCGGGGCGATGTCAGCCCCGACAAACTAGACAAGTATCGCCGAACACCACTTTTGTGCGCTGCTCAGAATGGGCACGAGGGAGTGGTGAAAATACTACTTGGGCGGACGACGTCAGCCCCGATAAACCGAACAAGTACGGCCAAACACCGCTCTGTTGTGCTGCCCGGAATGGACACGAGAGAGTGGTTAACAGACTACTTGGGCGGGGCGGTGTCAACCCTGACAAACCGGATAACCACGGCCAAACACCGCTCTGTTGTGCTGCTCAGAATGGGTACGAAGAGGTGGTGAAAAAGCTGCTCGGACGGGGCGACGTCAACCCTAATAGATCGGATAACGATGGCCGAACACCCCTCTCGTATGCTGCAGGGAATGGGCACGAGGGAGTGGTGGAGAGATTGCTCGGGCACGACAACGTCAGCCCCAACGGACCGTATGAATATAGTCAAACGCCACTTTGTTGTGCTGTTCAGAATGGACACGAGGGAGTGGTGAAAATACTGCTCGGACGGGACGACACCAACCCTAGTGAATGGGATGAGGGCGGCCGAACACCCCTCTCACATGCTGCTGAGAGTGGGTGTGAGGAAATGGTAAAAATACTGCTAGGACGGGTCGGGGTCAGCTCCGACAAACCAGACGAGGACGGCCAAACACCAGTCCGCTGGGCTGCTGAGAATGGCCATACAGGAGTGGTAACATTGCTACAGCCTCCAGAATCTTCCACCTCCAGCGCGGCCCGGGGCTGAGGGGTATTGCCCTCCTTACCTCTTTCGAATATGGATAGCCTATGCACCATTTCAGCGGGGACCACGACGGCTCCATAAACACGTCTGTGGCCGCCCTGCCTCTCCCTTATCCTCATCCGACCTTCTCCCGCGGTTCAGGACGCCGCCTTGTGGTAATTGTCGCCTTCCATTTGCTTCCAGAGTAATCCCGCTACAGAAACTCAGCTTAAATATTTCTTGTGGCCGAAAGGAAACATATCATTCAATGGGAGTGTACATATCTATCATATACATGCACCAAGATCTATATGGATTCTATTATGCAGTCGGGCCTGGATTGGCGAGTTCCTGTTCTAATCCAGAGTTTAGCGTTGGCTGGGAGTTATTTCTATTATATTAGGAAAAGATGTGTCTTGAAACTTCGATCATCATATTTACATTTATTATTGTTTCCTGCTTGTAAATATTTTTTTTGCACATACGCTGTTCATTCGTTTTTTCTACCATAACTTTTTTCTTCCCTGTTGAAGTGTGTACAGCACGTGAAGGTTGTTTAGATAAAAGTGTGGGGGGGAAATGTCAAGCGCGAGTATTTCCTAGACTCGTGAAAAGGGCGCAAAAGCTAGCTGTTAGCTTGGGTATGGTAATGATTGGCTTCTGCTTTGGGCATCCCTTAATGAAGATTATGCTGAAATGCCATTGCCCTCCGGGTGTGGGCTTGAAAGTGAGGTTGGGAGGTTGTCTACACTTTTGAGCCTTGCTCACCAAGGAAAATTAATAGTAAGGAGTCTTTTGACAGTGGAATATACTCCAGTTCGGAGAGTATCATGCTGTGTGAACTCGGGGGCTCTCTATGCGGGCAAACCTTTCGCATCATACATGGCGTAGGATTTTGGAGAGTGACGCCCGGTGTGTGCTGGTACACCGGTATACCCTCCCGTCCACCTACACTCGGCCCGGTTCCCTGAAAAGGCTAAGAATTCTGTATTCCCGGAAGGGGTTCAATGGTGGTTGCCGTGCTCGAGCAGTCTCTTCTTCCTTTGGCCACCCGTCTTCTTGGTACGAGGTTGGGGCACAAAATGGTGAGCAGTATGGAATGTAATAACTCTGTCTATGCCACTTCAAGATTCCCGTTCAATACATTCTGGTGCTGCAAAGTATTGAAGAATTGATAGTATAGTCCAAGATTCCCCCGAATATCTCCCGGGTGGCTAGGTTATCAAAGAATTGTTGGCCTCTTTGACATACAATACCTGTGTTTTAGAATTGGTGTTCGAAAAATCGCCGAGGTAGGCTATTCCTACCCAAAGTGGTTAGAAAAATGACCCGAGACTGATGTACTGGGTATAGCTCTCTTGATAATTCCTCGGCTGGTTTGGGCATGGGGCCCTAAAGAGGTAGAAGGTAGAATCCAGGGAATTTTGTCAGATATAGCTGAAGATTTTGTTGGCGTCGCTTCACCGGATCAGTGGGTGGAGTTCCTAGAAGTGGAAAACCCTTACGATACGAGACGCTGCTCATCTTTGTTGGAGTTGTAATGAAAGGCCAAATGTGACCATCTGGAAGATCTACCCAAAGAAACTACGCTCCTTTATTCCTTCTATCTCTCCCGTGAACCCCGAAGCATACCCGGAGGGCTGAGCCGAAGGGGAAGAAGGAGGGCGCGGGGGTGATAATACCAAAAATGGGGCCCGCGAATATCTGTGGCTTGAGCGAAAGTACGAATGAATGCTCTCGGCGGGATCTCCACATTACACTGAGATGCTCCTTGTTCCGCTGCGGGAGTGAGGATAGCTATATATGTGGAAATTGCTTCCAACTCCCATAGGGTCTCGGGGAACCCGAGCTAGCGTTCCGGCAACCTAGGGACGGGTCAAGTTCTCAGTATGGCAGAGGGCGAGGACACCGGGGAGACGACACGGGCTCTCATAGTTCCTTCGGGTCGGTGCATTCTCCCTGACCTCCCGCCGTATGATACTACATAAACTGGAGAAACTCGTTTTCACCCTATCATAAGATTTCAAAAAAAAAGTGTTGGGCAATACATGAGGTTAGTTGAGTACAGGTAGAGAGGAGCATTTAGGGGTATCATGGGATCTTTATAAATATTTAGCACGGGGGAGGGGGTCCTTTCGAGGCTTGCTGTTTATTTAAAAGAGCTAGCCAACCAAGGGGAGTTAATTCGTGAGAGACCCCTAGCCACGCCTTATTTTGACCCCTTAGCACGAAAACGAGTTTCGCCGGTTCACTCTGTATGATAATATTTAGTCCCTGATACCCCTTTGTTGGAATATACCCAACTGATTGCAACACTCACAGTTGTGATATAGCGACCAATTACTGTTTCGGGGTTCGCACAGTCAAACCAGCCGGTGGGTGGAGAGCGGCCAGGACCAAGGTCTTCATAGCCGCCCACCCCGCAACTAGCTGTTCTCCCTCATCCTCTCGCGCAGCGGCCAGAGTGATAGCGGAAAAAATGAAGAAAATCCGGGGGGCAAGAAACAAACCCTTCGTATCAAACTGGAAACAGTGCAATACCAGCGACACAGTGGGTCAGGACATAGCGAGCCAGCGGCCAGGACCCGGGATGAGCAAAAATGGGTATAAAAAAAGAAGTGGTCCCCGTAGGAAGACCGTTCCAGTTTTTACACTGAAAAGAACAGATACTACACTTGATCTAAGCCGGTTGGCAGAGAGAGCTGGGGAGGGAAAGAGAAGAAAGGGTCGAACAGGTGGGGAGGAGAGGTGATATTTATACTTGCTGAGGGGGGTGGTTTTGGCCGCTGGTTAATGAGAGATATCCTGCTGATAGTATTGGTGAGCCTCGCTGGCCTGTGATAACCTACCGGTACTCCTTGTGGTTGATGAGAGGCGTTACACATATTGGGAGGGGCTGTTACAGTGTGACTCAGATTGTTGACTCATTTTGAAGCAACTGCATTTCTGTTGTTTCGATCATTGGTAGTGGCAAGAATGTGAATGGCCGCCCCGGACGGCGCTGCGCGGTTCGACTTGTTTCGAAACTTGCTGGCTGGTGTGCGTTTCTGGTAGCAAGTGATCTTCCCGCACCTAATGCCGGGATTGATCGCTCCTGGTTTGACTGGCGGATGTGTAGTATAGTATAGCACTGCACAACACAAGCACAACCCCAGCGAACCGCAGCCATCCATCATGCGCCGAAGTACCGGTTGCCCATCTTTCCTACATGCCGTTTTACTACCTGTCAGCGAGTGAGAATTGCTTAATAATTGCGCTGCCTTTACGGATTAATTTTCTTTCCTTTAGTAGGCGCTACTGGCGAGGGAGGTTCACATTCATCTGTATATTCCTCGGTAGGTATAGTATGAATGGTACTTTCAACGTCAATGATCTGAGGCCAGTGCAACGGGCAGATGGGACGGAATAGAACGATCTGTGTGAATGGGGGTATAATGATAATCGTGGTTGCTTTGTTATAGCTTTGCGTCCCGGGGAGATGGAGGAGATGATGATACTATAACATTCTGAGTGTTGAGAGGAAAAGAGGAAAAACAAAAAGCAATCACCTGCCCGCGACTCGAGACTCCCCTTCCGTAGCATTCTATCATAAAAAAAAGGAAAGTTGTAGCAAAGAACATTACTCTGCAATCTCATAAGAAAAGAAATATATAGTAATAGCTCCTGATTCCTTGAGCTCTCAGTAGGTAACGCCATTAACCCCCACTTGTGGCCCATAGTCCTCGTGATGGTCCTCTGACACTCTATTACTCTCCACCGTATCTGTGCATGTTCGTCTCCGAGAGCCTTCTAGAATCGGCGTTCGAGACCTAGCAGTACATGTATGCGGGAATACAGTCGTAAGTAATGAGTTACCTCTTTTACGACACTCTACTCGTGGGTCGGTAAACTAGTGGAAGTAACTTTTGTTTTTAGTCTATAGTGCCGTTCCGAATAAAGAAATGGCTAACCTATAGCGCTAGCTGACTTCCGGATAGCGCAGGTGCGATAAACAATCTATATAAAAAAAAATACTTTCAATCACCCAAAAAAATTGGAACACAATCAGAACCTGTATTTCATAGCCTAAAGACCGCTTTCAAGAGGCACCGCTTGTAGGCTAAGTTTTTCCATCAAATCCCCTAAGTTCTTTAAAGGTATTAGATGTTAGCGCATTTCTAGAAAAGAGACCAAAGCATTCCTTGAACGGAGTAGCTTACAAGTGTAGCCGCAGAGCTAGAACCTGCTTCTTGGACTGGTATTCCATCAAGACCAGGTGGGTGCCGGACCTCTACCGGACCGTTCGATGTGGCCTCGGGTGAACATGGTGGCGACCTATACTGCCCGTCAGAGCCAATAACCTTCAAGAAATTTCCAGGAAAAAACATCTTACGGAAAGTGGTCACAGTTGAGGGTTTGGGTTTGGCCATCGACAGCCTCAGTACCAGCTACTGGCAGCTGGGAATCAGGGCCAAGGAGCCGAGCAAGGAGACACAGATCCTGTACCAAGTGCCAATAGTGATATCGAATTTTCTCCACCAACTCGGTGATCTGATCCTCATGGTAATCTGCGAGAACGTTCGGAAATAAGATGATTTCGTGCGCTATTTCATACCTAATCGCCCGCACCAGCGCTCGGTTGGGAAATATCGCCGTCATTGTGTGTTGGTGCTTGAGTGTTTTTTTTTTCCTCGAGCGTGGTCGTAGGTGAGATTGGGGGAGTACCTCCCTTTATGCAAACTCTTGGGCTCTCTGAGGCTGCCCTCACTTTGAATGCTATCATAGTAGGTTTCGACACGGTAGAGGAGAATAAATTAGATCTCTAGTGTTTCCAGCGCTCAAATGGCTCAGCACTTTTGGCAAGTTGTTCCTAACCGATCATGGGGTTCGAATCTCCCGGGAGTGTTTGGTACGGGCTTTACCATCGTTACAAACCATCGATAGTTCGGAATATATGATATATATCAATTGCAAGCACTATAAACACCTGGCTTGTGGAATCATACATATCTTTCCGTTTGCTCCTCGCTCGCATTTCGCACAATACAGGGGCTGACTACTCTTCCTACTCGCGATACACTCGACCTCGTATAGATAGATATCGCTTTAAAGAGGTTAATGGAAATCATCCCCGGAGCGCATAGCAATATCTATAAAGTTTTCCGAGTTTTTTTGTAGCCCCAAGAAAAGTAGTTATGGACAGTAAGGGAGCTCCGGGAGCCTTGCGAGTAATTCTCTTCGAAAGCCCCTTTAGGGACATTTTAAGACTTTATCAGAATATACTTTACTGAACGGTGGAAAGAAGGGTCCAGTGGAGTATTTTCAAGTGTTTGGATAGGTATGATGTCTGCCAGTGTGATAGAATGTCATCGCCGCTCAGGGACCCAGAGAATACATAGCAAACCCCTTGCAGCTTTTGGTGCGGTGCGGTACTACTAGTAAGGTTTCGACGCTTGCCCCAGCCGGTGATAATTTATTATGCTGTTTTTGTTTATTTAAGCGTTTTACTTATGAATCCTACTTTCTTGCTAGTTGTCCCCTATTCCTTATTTTTTTTTTAGTATTGCAATGACAATTGGCGGTGGTGTGTATGCACTCCCGGCCGGCAAGCGATCAAGAAAGGACAATTTTGAGTTCCGGGGATAAGTTAGGGCAGTGAGTGGTCCCTCTATTTAATCTGGGCAGCGTTTAAAGTTTTTTTCTTTGGAGGATAGAAAATAATGGGCAATCCAACACCCAAGTCAAATCAGAGCTATTGTTTGATTCCTTCCTTGGCCCCCGAATTCCGCCGGAAATACTCTTTCGTATCTTGAGCCTAGTGAGTCCTCTGTCTTAATTCCATTTTTCTGATCTCCCTCGCGTTCCTCGCAGTTTCATTCGGTCCCACACTGCATACCATCATACAGGCAGGCTTCATTGTTGTTCAATGGTGGTTGGACTAGGACAGGAGGAAAGGGGTTAGATCATTCATTTTGATTGTAGTGTCCGGTATACAGCACCAGATGGGAGGCTCGCGCAAACGCCCGGAGAACTTGAGCGGGTTGCAAATGTGAAGTTGATTTCGTAGCTGGTGTGAGACACTCGGCTCGACGACACGTAGCTCTAGGTATTAAGATCTATGATAGCAGGAAATTTTTCTTTTGTATTTTCGACCAAGTCAGAGATGTTTATTTGTTGGCTTAGGTTTCCCCTTCGTTCCCCCCACCCGGCTTGCTAGGCAGAGTTACCTTGTTTTCGCCGGGCTTAGTGGTTAGTACAGAGGGAAGAAAATTTTTGACCATGCGGGTTATCAGACGATCGGACTGCACAGTATGTACACAGTAAGGAGAAAAAAAAGGGTAATATTTGACAACCCTCCTGTCATAGGAAATCACTCGATATATTCAAACCAGTGCCACCTATCCAATCCCTTCTTCCGCCTGCCTGCCACAACCACTGAGAGCGATGGCCCGATATGCCGTGTAGATGCCCTAGCGTCGAGCCGCCGCGCCCCTGGCGGCGCACACCCAGGACACCTAAAGGTGTTGCCATCATCAGACTGACCACGGGGTTTGGTTCCGGGTGTAGGATCTAAGATCCTTTAAACTTTTTCGGCGCCGGGTTTCATCCTTCTTAGTTTGCAATAGTGGAGAGGGAGGCGTTGGAGGCATGCCCACGCGGCGCTGCGCTTGTGAACAGTGGTGGTGCTACTCAGATGAACAGCAGCAGCCATCGGGCGCCGATGCGCCGTCGGGCATATCGGGCAGTCTGGGCGTTTGTTCATCGTCAGGGATTTTTGAATCGTCGGGAATTTGTGAGTCGTCGGGGATCTGTAGATAGTCGGGTATATGTGAACTGTCGGGTATGGGTACGTTATTAGGCGTTGATAGATCGTTGGACGTTTGTGGAAGGTCCGGCATCCGTATTATACAGACCGCCGGCATTTCTGGAAGTGGTGGTGCGTCCGAAGGTGGTTGCGCATCCGGAGGTGCTGGCGCGTCCGGAGGTTGTAGTGGTTCCTCGGGGAAGTATCGTATGCAAAATAGGCGCATCCACTTTGACTTTGAAGGGGACGGTCGCTTCTTCTCCCCACTCATCCGCCCTCCAGACCCGCCAACTGGGGTGCGAGAGCATGGTGGACGATGTACTGATGACTGAGAACCCATCTCGAGATAATGTGACTGGGCGTCGGATATTTGGTCTTTTGCGTGCTAAGGTCTACCGGTGAAATGGGAGGAATGGTTTAAAACTTTAGGATTTCAGGGAGTGGTTGGACAAGCTATCCCTGGGGTGAGGGGTGCGTCTTATATTAGTGTCTAGATGGTTAGGGTTTTTACTTCGCTGCGCACTGAGCAATTTATGGTATGATACTCGAGTACTGATGTGAGGTATCCAACCCGGAAGTTCATAGGAAGTCCGTGCTAAAAATCCGGTTCCCGCCGTGTTACACATTTGGATGGAAGGCCGACCAAGCTCTGTCGTGATCCACTACGAAAGCGAAAGTCTGGAGCATATCAATGCAAAAGTGAAACCCTATGCGGAAGATCGAAAGTGAGCATCCAGCTAGGAAATAGCCACCACTCCTTCCCCGCTCCCCTCTGCATCTGTTGTTCGCTTTCTTGTCTTACAGTAAACCAGGTGGGTCACAGTCTCCCTTGTTTCCGTGCGCAGTATCGCAAAACTGGCACAGTTGCCACACGATAAGACATCTAGAGTTCGCTAGCCTTTTTAGATCATGGGGAGGAACCACTGCGGAAATCTGACATTCAGCCATCCGCTGAGACAAATAAAAAGAAAAATGCCACTGACTTTGCTAGGAGAAGAAGCTCGTCCGATAGGTAGCACGGGGTCCAATTATGATACAGTGAAAACCTGCGATTCGATATCGGATTATCCCTGCAAGACGCGGCATCACACTGTGATAGGTTTATCTTGGCAGCTTGGTTGGATTGCGGAAGCCCGGTAATGGCGTCCAACACCGTGAAATGGCTTCGGCTATAGTGTCAGGAAAACTCTAAGGAACTTTTTGTCTCTAAACCCCGAGATCAGCGACAGACATAGCGAATCGCAAAAGTTTTTAAGGCACTGTAACTGGACCTCAGGCTGTGGAAGAGTAGTCCGGAGGCGCCACGTTGAGTGGATGTGACACCCCCGCAAAAAGCAACACCACAATCGCTTAGAAGGGTTCAGTTAAATTTGTGATTGCTCTTCTCTCACGCCATTGGCCCTCTGCCCACCCTCTGAATTCCTTTTGTGCGGAGGTTCTGATACATACTCGAGTAGTGTCAGAAATTAATTTTAAAAGTGGAGTATCGATACTGTACGGCGACCTCTATTTGGCTCGATTTGGGGTTTGCCGAAACTTCGATTGAACCCCTCTCCGGCCGAGTCTATTAAGCGGCGATTGGGCGCGCTAAACTCTCAAAGGTTATATTAGCAGCCCCGAGGGACTGGAATCAGCTTCTCCCCAATCGATCCTGTCATCCGTGCTCTCTAGTCCGGGGATTTCTATCGACCGGGTTATCTGGGGCAGCAAACACCTCCCCTGACCAGATCACCCCAATACGCACCAGTGCGCACATTTATCCCGCCCTTATTATGCGCTTCACAACCTAACTGAAATTTTCAATCTAAGGATGAGAGAACTTAGCTAATCAGAAGGTTCCCCCCTTTTCTCTTAACCCCTACGGCAGGGGAGTAATGACGTATTCCTGTCAAACTAGAGGGAATGAAATGAGAGGAAAAGTGAGCAAAAACATCAGACCAACAAATAACTCTGACTAGGTGGAAGGTGCAAAAGTTACTGCGAGGTTTTTACGTTCCTAAGAGCTAGGTGTTGTTGGTATTGGGCTGTAGGTTTCGGGCCTCTAGATCTCGGGGGACTTGCGCTATCTCTATAGTGCACTCCATGTGGATAGAATTCAAACCCCTAAGCCTAGGCGAGTGACTGTCCGTGACTGCACTGTAAAAACAACAGAAGAAAGAGGACGATGCCTGAGTTTCCTGCTTAGAGATAGCAACGTTTATGCGTAGCAGTACTTATGGGGGAACTGAGCTGGAGGTAAGTTTCTCTTTCAACCCACTGTACTAAGCATAGTCCCGGTTATATTTTGAGGTACTGTAATGTTTAGAAAGAGTATCCTCCATTAGTAAGAAATCTAATTTGCTGCCTGGGTCAGTTAGTTTAATGGTAAATATTGGGTCCCGGAATATCCTAGACCCTGATGGAATGCTATCATCAGCATACCCGGCTACCCTGAAACTAACCATCGAGCGATATTTGGTTTTGCTAGACCTACTCCTTGATCATTTGAGCGATGGGGTAGAATATGGTAAATGTAAGAACTTGCCGTGGCACCGCGCTGCCCAGCACTGTCTTAGTGCCTTGGCCGTCTCGATGAACATCGAAAGGCACGGACCCTATCTTCCCAGAACCTGGTACGAGGTTGCGGGAAGAACTTCCCGGCATGTTTTGAAATCATGAAGAGCTACTCCCGTACGCTATGACGCGTTAAGTTAGGTGATATCTAAGTTTTTTTTTTTCGACTGAAACATTCGTGGGGCTTAACTTTTTTTTTTTTGTTAAATCCGCGGTTTATTCGTAGCTAACTACAGGAAAATCCATGGCAAGCACCCTAAGGCATGGCCTAAAAACCCCTTTTCGTGGGGCTTAACTTATTTGTATATATTGTACTCGAGTGCGCGGAGCTAGCCGGCTTTACTGTAGGCGTTCTACTCGAGTAGGGTGTTCATTTATCGTAGTGAGATATTGGTCCTGTACCACAGGATTGCACTTAGAGAAGTGTGGAATTTCCTGCTACTGGTGGTACTGACGGGGTGGGCGAAGTCAGGCCATTGTTGACGGATATTTATTGGGCGGCCCTCGGGAAGTCCATTATTCGACTGGCTCCACCCCCCACCATCCGCAACACCCTAACCTGCACACAAAAGAACACGTCTTCCCACTAGACCCCAGGTTCTAGAATCAGGGTATTCAAGACCGCCGAGTTGGGAATATGTCTGGATGGTTCCTACAAACCGAGGAACTTAGAAGCTGGTATGCGGGCAGCGAGGGAAGCGGATCCGATAACGTAGTTTTGTTTTGCTAGGGAGACTCGGGTGTTGGCAAGAGTTATATTAGGTAACAGGGGCCAACCTCGAGGAATAGAAGAAAAGAAAGAAAGTGTAGACAAACAGCGATGTTAGCTCATTAGTGATGGATGGTTTGTGTGGCCTGTCTGGGGGATAGAATACCACTGTCGCGGGTTTTATTTTGGCTTTTCTGTCCAAGCATTCTGGGTAATACTGAGACCACTGGCTAGCGGACTGGAGGAAATCCTAGAGGAGATGTCCCGAGCATACCAAGACCAAAAAAAGTGCCCTGGTGGGCGGGAACCACGACTTTCCGATATTATGGAGAAGCTACGGGCTTAGTTACCTCTTCCAAGATGCGTAGGTTCATTTGCATCGACGCTCTAGGTGAATGCCCCGAAGGAGATCGGGTTAAGCACCTGGGCTCGCTAAATAAAATTCTTCAAGAGTCTCTAGGTACTCGAACATCCGCGACAGGAAAACCGCATACTGGACCTGAGATTTGGAGGGGTCTTTCCAGAAGAGTAACCAGTGTATTCATCACTCCCCGGAGAAGTGATACTATCAGATGTCTTCACACTAGGCAGAGCGAAGACACAAATCCTAGACGCGATGGGAAGTAGTCTGGAGGAAGATATCCTGAAGAAAATTCCTGAAGATGTCTCCTAAATGTATGTCTAAGCAGCAAACCAAGAAATTTACCCAAGTTACCCACTTGTAGATGCATGTCTAGATTCCTGCTCGTCTCGCCAAACACGGGTGCGGTCCTGCAAGAAATCATAATCCATCACAGGCGGCGGAAGCTTAACACGATGACCGACGGCTTGGGGCTGGGGGATGCCTATGCGGAGCGCTGGGTTGGATAAAGAGAGAGGGTACTGAAGAAGTGAGGCACGGTGTGGCCGCTTGATGTGGATCTCTACAAGGCGGCCCTTGAAGGCTGACGAATTGTGTCACGCACTAGTAGTCGGAATAAGACCGTGGACTCTCAATACCGACAATGCTCCTTCAATAGGGGCGCTGCTAGTATGTTGTCAAGGACTGAGGCCTCGACAGTCCGTTTAATCCACTTTCCCTTCCGAGAGTAACCCCGAGCTCATCCCGAGCCTTTTGGCACGGCTTACTCAAAGATGGTAGAGATCTGCTGGTTATCTGAATTCCAGGGAGGTCGGGGCTCTTTTGCCTCTCCTGGTCTCCAAGGCACGCCCCCTCCGCAATATTCCTCTCTATATTGCAGGATCCGGTGGAGAAGGGGCCTTTGGGGTTGGGCGAAATTTCTTGCGCGGGAGCTATGTCACGACTGAAATAACCACATATCCACTAAAATTCTCTCGAAAGCACAGAAACGGTATTCCCAGGCGGTTAATTTCGATAAACCCTCTCTGTTCGGCAGCCTACACCGTACACCCACCTCCGGGATTGTTTGGGATTGTATGATAGCTGTTTTGGTAGAGGTGGAAGGTTATGATATTTAACCAAAAATAATGCATGGGTAGTACACTTCTCGCGCGGATTTCCTTGAACAGACACAAGGGAGTGGTTGAAATACTGCTCGGACGGGGCGATGATAGAGACAAAGCGCCACATGGATCTTCTAACATGGTCGAGTCAGGATTTGAGAGTTTTTGTTTATAGGCACAAGCTGTCTACAGCGAGAGAACTATCTCACACACCCCGCCCCGTTAGCAATGATAACCGACCTAGAGAACCACACCTCCTACTTGACGCAAGTCTTGCCCACTCCCAGGCCGCCGTGGCGGGTGAAAGAAAAACAGAGTTAATAGACCCGTATTTGGCATTTCTCCAATTCAAGAAATCTTCCATTTCCGGCAGCCGATCTCCCACTCCAATAGGTCGGCGAGTTCGTATATCTCGATGCATTTCCCATTGTTCTAATGATGGCAGTCACGCCAGCATTCCACTCTTCTGGTCACTAGACGTGATTCTGAATCCCACCTTGCGCCGGTCGTACGTGAGGTTGTAATCCTGCGAGACATTGTACTCGGGTAACAGCTGACTTTTTTACTATCGCACATTATGCAAAACCCAGTACAGTAATTATTCGTGACATTCCCGCAATTTCGGCTCGAATTCTAAACCGGATGGCAGTACCGCAGGAGCTCAAATGAACGTTGGCCCTGCACCAAGATGTTGGAGCTGGCTCTAATAGAGTCTAGAGGTTTCTTCTCTCTTCTCGGAAAGCAGCTTCTGCTGCACGTCTCCCGCCCCCTGTCCGGTGGGGAAAAAATTCGAATCACCCAGCATATGATTGGTTAATTCGAGTTCTCGCGGTACGACCAAAGGCTCAGCGCACCATGTCCTCGCCCGTCACTTGTAAGCCAGGGTATAACTATCCCGGCGATCCGGCCCACCTTCCGGTAACCGGTGAACATCCCTTCCGGCCAATCATAGTGTAGAAGAGATCAGCTCGGCCGGGTGCATGACCGACGCTCATTCCCGCGCGGCAGGACTTCCGTGGCGTGAAGTGGGCTTGCTTCCCACGCTCCCGCCCGAGTCAGTTCCTTCCTATAGTCATCGGGTACGTCGCTGGCAATCGAGTCTGACCTATGGTACCGCCATCAACTTCCTGGGCGGGCGCCAGGGACTGCAAACCCTAAGGTATCGTATTTGACTGCTTTGGTGGGGTTCGGATTCCTGGATGCAGGGTGGGATATATGGCGTGCGGTTTTCTCGCCTTCTCGGGAGGCATTTGGCAGGAGGGTGGGGCTGGAAGGACGGCCAATCGTGGTCCGTGTTTTGTCATATCATGCAAGGGCACCCCGGAGGGGTGATAAGAAAGATCGAGCGTCACATAGGTCCTATAGGGGTGATCACTTATGATCACTCGTACAGCTCCATGTCGCCCCCGTCATCCCCCCTTTGGACGGTACCACCCCTGCGATCCTATGTAAGCCCCTCCAGTCCAGTGCCATCAACGCTGTTAGTCATTCATTACCCCCTACAACCATCTAATATACCCTTAGGTCCGTTCCACCAGCTCACTCGTCTTTCCCGCTCCGGGCAGTCTTCCACAACCCCTCTTCTAAACCCCATACCCGCCGCTGCCGTCCGGTCCGGTCCCTCGGGAAGCTATCCTGCCGTTACCATAGGGCCATAGGGCGGCTAGGAGCACTGACTGATCTGGCACGGTAGAGGGAGAAATCTTTGTAATGGGCTTTCAAATGGGACTGCGTTACAATGTTTGGATAATTGATTCTGACCGACTAACTTGGAAGACAAATACTTGTGTAGGAAATCTCGCTCGATAAATCCAGTGATAAAGGGAAACAGCCGAGGAAGCAGAAAAGGGACATTAAAAATTTCCCTCAAGAAAAAGGAAAAATGGAGAAAAATGGTTAGAAAGAGATGATATTCATAAGCCTCATAATGTATATAACCCCCACCCCCTTTATAACAAAAAATAAGAAAAAATAAGGAAGATGCCAAGCTCGATCTTAGGCTAAGCTGCCGGGAGCAACCCCCCCCACTCATCAGAAGACCAATAGAATACCGGATGCTCCTCCTCCATATGCGATAGCAAATCCGGTAACTCATACTGGTAGACCAACTCCCCGTTGGGATGCTCATACCAACATTGATAGGAGTCCGGCCTATCATCAAACGGGAGTTGTTCATAGATATCTGTGATCCTCTTCAAATGCCAGGAAAACGAAAGCCTACGATATCCGTCCTCGGCGTAATTTCGATCCTTCAGCAACTCCAGCAGTTCCCGAGCTACAAGGTCGTACCACTCCTGGTCCTTCGCGGCAAAAGTGGCCTTGCCACGGATGGGCTTGAGGTAGCGGAAGAGAGTCCCAGTGACGTTGGCACCCTGCGGCTCTGTGTCTTCCTGTCGCAGGAAGAGCCAGGCAAGGAGCTGCTCCTTCGTCAGGTCCTTGCCCCAGCGCTCGCGGGGGTGCCTGTACACCTCCTCGTTCCAGACGGCCCACACGGACTCGGCGAGGTTTGACTTGGCCTGGTCGCGGAGCTTCCGCGTTGGGCTCGGGTTCGTCTTCTTGCGGGCTTCTACGGCCCGCTTTTCCTCCTCCCTCCGTCGCTGCAGGTTCCCTAGACCTATTCCGAACTGCGCGATGCAGAGCGATTCGATATCGAATTTCCAGTAGTAGGTCATGGAGATCTCGCGCCTGAGTTTTAGGTAGAAGATTTTTACGGAGCTGGATTTAGGCGGGTTGGTGGTTATGTCTAGGCCTAGGCCCCGGAATTTGCTTATGGCTGTTGGAGCCTTTGTTAGAGTATGGTTCACTCGAGGGGGGAAGAGGAGGCGGGGATGTCCTACAGATATTGTGTTCCTTCAAGCATCGCATGCAAATCTTAAACCCATATACTTGGCACTCGCACCAATCTCGGTTTGTCTTGTTGAGGGGGTGCTGCATGGACGTTAGGCAAAATTGGCACCCGTTCCGTGCCAAGGCCCGCAGAACATAGGATTTGTAGTCCCGGACAGGGTCATACACCAATTGCGAACTTCCACCTGGGACCCAGCCAGTTTCGCAATCAGGTAGGGGCCTAAGTCCGTACCTCCACCTACTGCCGGTGAGCATCGTGTACCAGAACTTGTTGTTATGCTGCATGCTCAGGTGCTGGTTGAAATAGCGGCAGGTCTTGGACAGGTTCAGCGCATCGATAGGATGGGGAAGATAAGCGGTTATCGAGTCTAGCGTTTCCGCCGGGAGTGAGAGTAGATGGGTAGACATTTTGCGGCGATTGCGAGTTTCCCGATTATGTCGAAGGTGCCGTGTAGGAAGTCCGGGACGGAGCGCTCTTATACTTGTAACTATCGCGCCAGACCAGGCTTGAAAATAGATTGAGGCGGAGTAACGCGTCGTTCACGCGACCACGCGTAGAGCACTTTCAAGAATCCGTCTTGCTGGCATAGTTGAAAACCAAGATTCACCATGATCATGAGTCAAGCGGGGCGCCAAGTAATGACACTGCCACGCAGCTGAGGAAAAAGCAAAGACAAAGACAAGCCATCATGCACTGGACTGTGTTCACCATTGAGAGTTTCCCCCCTCGGAGAAGCATGTTTGAGCTTCCATCTTTATGACTAACATTTGACTTCAATAGCCGAACCCTGGGAAGCGCACGATCACCCAGTCTTTGGGGTTTCGTGCTGGATTTTCAACAGGATAAAGCTATCGCAATTTACCGGTACCCTGTCATACTTTGGTCAAACACTAGCCACTCGCGAATGCCAAGGCCTACCAAAATAGCCTGCTCTTGGCGCCAAGGTGTCAGTCATGATCTTGAAATTCACGGGTCTGGTACGATAGGATGCTCGTACAGCACTGGTACTCGGGTGCATATGAGACCGTGCTCAGGCTCGGGGGCTTTGAAAAGTTTAATCGTGATGTGACAAGGGCAAATCATGGCGTATGTCTCAAACACCCAGCCCATTTTTGCCCTGTTTCATTGATCTTACTCGTAGCAGTACAGGTACTCGAGTACCGGTACTTGTTCCAGGATGGTACAAGGGTAGATCATGAATTCATTACTCTTGCGATAAGATTCAAGTACGAGTACAGAGCAGGGATCAAAGGTTAGTCAGCAATGGTACAGTGCAGCACGAGAAGACAGTCACCACGGTATACCATAGATTACCGTAGTCCGTTGAAAAAGTGGCCCACTTTTAGCGTTCCGGAGAGCAGGGGTGTTCATGTATTAGCGTGATGAAAATTGCTATGATACGATATGGTAAATATTGCTTCTAGAAACTTACCCTCATATGTTATATCCAAAACCGCATTCTCTTTGGAGTGGGCCACTTTTAGTGCATACCTACGAGCAGATTTACTCACCGAGTTACCCGGGTATATCGACTAGGGTTTAGGTCTCAGGTTTCAATCGACAGGCCAAAACGGTAGACATGATGCTAGGCAAAATGGTTTAGTGGGCTTCGTAGGGATCCAGTTTTGATTAGTGCCCTTCTTGGCGTAGCCCACTACTAACTTACTTATACAATCTATGGGATACAGTACCGTATGAACTTGAATAAGAGCAACACCGCTTGGGACGTCTAGGTTTCCCCTCTTGGTAACGCGTAGTTTTATTTTGCTGGTATTTTCTCCCGTCCCTACCAAAATAGGCAAGTCAGACGTCCTGAGATGTGTTGCTCTTATTCAAGTTAATACGGTACCATAGCTTTATCGAGACTGGAGCTAATGAATTCAGTAAAGTAAGGACTACCTGTAGAGAACCGAAACACATTTCGACCACCGCCGGCCACTACCGATCGCTCGCCTGCGGCCGCCAGCCGGAACGCATGTTTCTTCCAGCGTTCCGAGACTCCATGCACAAGGAAGGGCAACTACCCCTGCTCCACTCGAGTATACTGTATTATACATTCATAACCCACCCCCGTACCAAAACCACTCGCTCCCGGTCTTTAGGGCAAAGACTACCGCAAGAACTCGAATAATTGGACCTCGCGCTAAGAGGTTGAATTAAGGTATGTGTTTCGGATATGGGGGGGGATACCAATTTAAGAATGTTTTAGACGATCAATCATATGCTCTGACCTGTGATCTTGAACCTCAATTACTGAAGCATGAGAAAGAGAGAAATGTAAACAAACTGTCACAGTGTGAATGTGAGAGAAAAATCTACTTTATTTTCCAACTATCTACTCTATCAACTTATGGCTCTGAATCAAATGAGACGTGTTCCAGTTCATCCTATCATGCCAGCATTATCAAGTGAACGATTCTATGCTGGAGTAAAGAAAAAACCGGGGCCGAAAAGGAAACAACTTGCTGAAGCTCTACGAGCAACACCGCCATGTGTCGAAATCCCCTATTGATCCTACAAAGTTAGCTATAAGCTACGAGTATTATCATATTGGGCTACCCCAAGTATTGCAGCCGGACCCACCCAACTTCGAACACCAACACGGGGAGAAACAGCAGCCCGCTTTAAGGTACTGCAGACAAACCTTTCACGCTGGAGAAATGAAGAAAAAGAAGGAAAGTTTCAAGAGCTCAGCCTTGAACAGTACCGAGTCCCAGGAGGGGGACGACCATGAAAGTGGGAAATGCTAGAAAGGGAACTGTATGAAAAGTTCCGATATCGTCGTGCATCAGGAAGAATCATTCGCTGGGGTTGGTTCAGACGTGTTAGTAAAGAGCTCTTTATACAGCATTACCCAGGGGAGCCACGTACCTCTTTCCGCTTCTCGAATGGATGGTTTCAGCAATTCCTTAGTTTCCACCAAGTCAGCCTGCGTTTCGTGACCAATACCGCCACTAAACTCCCAAGTGACTTTAGCGGTACAATATTAAGTTGGATGAGATTCAATCAGAAGAACTCACAAATATGACCTGGCAGCAGCCAGGATGCTGGCGATGTTCCTGAGGAGGTTGGTCGATATAAACTATCAAATATAGTTAATATGGATCAAACTCCCCTACCATTTGAATATTTGGAGGGGAGAACCTATAACTAGAAGGGAGCTAAGACGATATGGGCACAGAGTTCCCAGTCTGGTTGGGGCAAATGGCAAGCTACTATTCAGCTCACCGTTTTTGCTGATAGTGTACCATGTGTAAAACCATTAGTCTTCTTTCGGGGACAGGGGATAGGACCGACGATACTTACTGAAAAACAACGCTACGATCCTCATGTTGTTGTAAAGTTCAACCCTAAAGCCTACGCTAACTCGTCCAATGTTGTTGAATGGTTGGATGAGCAGCTTGTTCCAGTTCTAGATAACTGGCCAACCCTTCTTGTGTTGGACCTCTTCGGCGCACATAAGACCGAAGAGGTCCTCGATACCTTCTCCGCTAATGATATTATCGTTAGCATGGTTCCGGGAGGCTGTACCTCTTTGGTACAACCTCTTGACGTTTCAATTAATCGTCCTTTTAAAGAAAAATTAAGAGTACGTGGCTTACCTCCAGAATATTAATAATAATTAAAAAAAAAAAACACTAACCATGAGGTAGGAGGTGCTTGAGGAGAAGTTAGATGAGGTGGAGGCAGAGGAGGAGCAAATAGTATTAGCAGGAGGACGACTAAATGGAAGCATGATAGGGAGGAGGAGGGTACTTACTACTTGGGCGGTCGGGGAGCCATGGGAGCGCTTCTGCCGGGATCGGATGGAGGTGGTGGTAAAGGCATTCCGGATTCTAGGCATCTCTCTTCCAATTAGCGGTGCCATTGATCAAGAAATATCTGTAAAAGGAATTGATTCCACTTACCTAATTGAGGGACTTCAGGATTGGTGAGAGGGGGAAGAATCAGAGAAGGAAGAGGTTGAATTAGATGAGGGAGAAGATGAACATGATGTATTTTACGAAGAAAATGACATTTGTTAATATCTGAAACTGATATTGCATAACACTTCTTGGCATGTCACACCTTAATTGAACCTCTTAGCGCCAGGTCCAATTATTCGAGTTCTTGCGGTAAGAAAGTGCCAAAAGCTCTACGGACCTAGGCTTCATGGCGGGCACTTGATGGGGTCTGATACCCTACGCTCGTGGCAAATGGGAACGATCCAGGCTAGACAGACCCAAATGAGGAACATACCGGTAGACAAGAAAAGCAGGCTAACACTCAAAGAGGGCCCTCATCGAAACACCGTACTCACAATTCACATTTCAAGTGAAAACTTCGGATCCTATCCAATCCTAAACCAAGGAGAGACCCTCCACACTGCATTCTTCGCTATTTCCCGTGATTCCCAAAATTTTCTGGGAATACCGCGAACTCCTTGGTGATTCAAACAGAATCACTACAGCTTTTCCGTATCCCCAGATTCACCTATTCCAAACAGAAACGGACAAGGGAGAGAGTCAAAACCTGCGACACTCTTCTTCAGGTGTCTACACTAATTTTCGAAATATTTTGAAATATTTTTCTTAGTCGCCTTACCGATCCCCGCAGTTGAAATGATGGGGCGGTAAGGGCCGAGAAAAGCCGGGGGCTTTTGGGGACGCAAGAGCTTGAGCGCTCGACCTGCTCGCTTCCGCATCTCGTGTGTCTCATGTTTTTAGGAGTGGTATGGTGCCGCTGTGTTCGTGCGATGACTATACTGGCAGGGTGCCAGCTTTGGTGTTTTATCCCACAAAGGCCAACCCGACACACTTATGAGCCTCCAAGTTGATTGTGCCGGGCAGGATCGTGATGTTTTGGTTTGTGTTTATGGGGTTGGACCCCATTCTGGCCTTTCTATGAGTAATCACGCCGGTATTGCAAGTGATAGGCAACCAATGTTGCTGTTCCTCGTGGTATTGTCGGCTCCTAAGACTCATGACGTCAACTAACCAGGGTTCTTCCATCGGCAAAGCTTATCTCGACTTCTGCTGCAGTTCGTTAAATCATCACTGCTCTTGCATTATACATCAACTCACTGCAATTCCGAGACAGATGCCGGAGACAGCCCGCGTAAAACTATTCATAGGTTTCGAGTTACAGAGATTGTTTGTGGTGGTATTGTTAAAAGGGTGCCAATTTACTACCATAGGCCCCTCTGCAGATTTGGGTCTCAGGTGAACCATGGCGTTCCACTAGCATTATTCTGAGAAAGGTATGTGTGCCCGAACGGATTATTGAAAACTTGCACGATGAAAGAGGGGGTGGTCCAGAGCTCCAGTCGACACCATAGCTATCGTGTTTGTTGTGAGATTGTCGCACCTGTGAGTAGCCTATCAGTACCATGGAGTATCAGGGTGCGGTAACATTTGCCTTGGGGATTTATGCGCCCGAACGCATTCTACACACGCTGGCCCGTAATGTTACCTGCATGGAGCCAATTGATACAGTTGCCAATTGTTTGAGGACCCCGGCTGAAGTTGGGAGACAAGAAACAATTTGCCTCATATTATTGCCTTTCCTCACTCGGGGTGGCTTCAACACTATACCACACGCCCCACTCAGCGCTGGGTACGAACAATGCAGAACGTACCCTGGGCCCGGGTTTTCCGTCTGGAAGAAAGAAAGGGGTTCGAGATTAATCAATAGAGGTACTACCATATAGCTTATTCTTGATGCCTACATTGGCCGGTTGGCTTAGCCACACCGGAGAGCTCAAGACTGCTTAGCCTTCCCTAACCAGCAAAATATGCCAAAGCCACTTCTCATCTTTGCCATCTGCTTGGGTGAGCGAGCATACGCAGGAGCTTCGGGAGGGCTGGTGATGACCGGGGGTGTAGTGTGATGAGCGTCGTCAAGGACGACGACAATAACGGGGAAAGAGCCGTGTTCTCCCTAGACGGCGAAGGCTTCGTTAGCCTCCCTACCTCATTTTGTGGTTTGCTTTCCCCCTATTGAAGGAGCCAACTTGCTCTTCGTGCTTTCGCTATATTTCCTCGATTAGCTCTGGGGTTTCATCTGGCCTCAAATCAACAACCTGAATTCGTCGGTCAAAGTTCATAATAATGATGTCTCTACCCAGTTTCTGGCCAATATTCACAAAGCATTGTCCTGAAAACCCCGGTGCTAATGGAAGTACTGGCCTCAAGTCTCGTATGCCCTTAGCCGGGTGTGGCTATAGCTGTGGAGATCCGTACTACCGTGCGAGTGCCTGGACCGAAAAACTAGGAGAGCAGGGGGGCGCGACAAGAGAAGACCTCTGGTTCCGCGTCTGATGATAAACTCGCATATAGGATTGAGGGTTCCAATGCATCACTACCGTACTATACCGGCATTGCGACATTTACTCGTCGTGATGGGCGGGACCTCTAGATAACAGTACCGCAGGTTAGATCGCATTGGTCACGGCTCTCAAATTTCCACCCATTATTGATCTGGCTACCCAAGTCAACCTTTCTTTTTTCTTATCTGGCAGGTAGGACAAGAGGCTTTCTCCTTTTCCTTACCCGTCATGAATCCTTAGCCTGAGCGATTTTCGGTGGCTCGGGCCCACTGTATTACCGTGTAAAGCGCTTTCCTCCGCCCTTGAAGACGGTAGTTCGGGCTGATGGGAGAGCGCAAGGGATGAATGACGCATTAGGGATAGTTGCTTCGGCGGCATCCTGTGATTCAGAGCGCCGGTAGCCAAGAATGGGCGGTCGGCGGAGCATCGGAGCATTGTGCACACCGCTCCCGCTGCCCACCATTTCTGTGATTCTCGTTAGATATGTCAATTGCAATCCTCGCTGGTGCGGCATTGTGGTAGGGACTGCCTGACGTCTTCGGTTTGGTGCATTTGTCAATTCTAAGCGAGTACGGATCGGAATCAGCAATGCACACTGGGTAAGATCTTGTCTGGAGGTTCCATCTTCAATTGCATCTCGGATATGAACGGATTTAAGGGGGAAATCTAGCAAGCCCTTCCAGATAAGCCCCAAAGAATTGTTTCCTAATAGGTATCCTCCCCCGCAAGCCAACCCAAACTAAGGCCCCGAATGGTGAGTCTTTCCCCTCGTTCGTGTGGGCGTTGTGAGCTTCGTATTTCTCAAACCTCTGGGAAAAGCTTTCTATGACAGCGGGCTGAGGAAAACAACTTTATGCAGTATCGGGTGGTTATTTGCCACCACCAAGGGCAACTCGAGGCGTCTCTTCTTCAAGAAGCTGAACCAAGAGTTGATGGGTGGAAAGCCGAGGTTATGGGTGCTCTGGATGGCCGGTTTACAGATGCTGATATTCAATTTAATGAGATGAGGAGCTGGAGGCTTTAGATTCCCGATCTCGGAAATCTAAGGCAATGTGCTCCACGTCCTCAGTTTTTACCCCTGCCATTTTGGATTATCATGCAGTTCCTCGTGCTTAGTTATATTTTTGTGAGCCCCCCAACGTCCAGGTGACAGTATAACCTTAATGAGGAAGCAGGATCTTAGAGACACGGATTTCCGATTTCCCACCCCGAATCAAATCCTAGCAATCTGGTTGGTCCAGAACAACATTTTCCTCACATCTAGGATCTCTGCGCAAATCCCTTAACGCGCAGCCAAGGCTCGGTCAATGGAACCTTGCCCAACCAAAATATCCGATTTGTCAATTCACAAAAGCATCACCAAGCTTCCAGACCCCCATTCTTAACCATATCCGCAATGGGCCGAGAAATCCTGAGCGGACTTGGGGGGAGGGGAGTAAGAACCTAAGTTACTACCGTTTCCCAACCTTTAATCACCATCTTCCTCCTCCCACACCCTTTCATCATTGGACACCAGACGGCATCTCACATGTTACAACCCCACAGCTAGCGCCCTAGCATGTCTCTGCATTACCCCCTCCCCGAAAGCAAAAGAGAAAAGAGGGGACAAAGCGCCGCAGCGATGCCTTGTTTGGATCTAATTCTACTATTCCGGCATGCCATCACGAGATATACTTGGAAAGCCTTTTCCTGCCAATGGGCGCATTGAAGATACCTTCATTCATCCTTGCCCCCACAGCCGGTAGATCCACCCCAGGATCCCCCTCACTCCCTCTCACATCACCATTATTTATATCAATTTGGGTCCCGCTCGGCAATATAGGAGAATTGCCGTTTTTCATGAAAATTGTACTATTCTCTCCACCAGCATTCAAAAGCCTCGGCCCAAATAGCGGGGGGCAATCTATATCCAAAAAGCGCACTACCAAAATATCCCATTCTCGGAAAATCCGGAAAAATGCCGTATTTTCTGCCAGAGGTCAAGAAGGACACATCCTAGGCACGCAAGTACCGTGCGGCAAACAAGGATGGGGAAAATCTATAATACGTCGCACAAGATTTACGATCTTGGAATGTGAGAAAGATTAATCACCCCCCTCTTCATTGGACACCGCGGCACTATACTTGCAGCACTTTACCGCACGCACATAATTTATTAAGGGTAGCTTGATTGGAAATCACTATGTCATGATCCATCCCTTGGAAATTACTCTCCCACCGTAGCGCCCCACTCCACTCGGTTTTTATCCGCCCGCAGCGAAAAAGCAGCCTCGACACGGTACAGCAACCAATATATCAAGGTTTGGTCCGCCGGCTCTGGGAACACAAAACGATAGAAGCGATGGGATTGCGGGACGGGAGGGGGGGCGGGGGTGAGGAGGTGATTGTATTTTACGCCTTGCAACTATATTCTCGATATTACGCATGGTGTTCCCACCCTTCCGCTTAACCCAAGTGCCGATTGGCGGTTGTGGTGGCGGACGGGGGAAGTATCATACGTAAGGAAGGAGGAAGGAAGGAAGGAAGGAAGGAAGGGAGGATGTATGTACGTATGTATGTACGTATGTATGTGTTTTTATGCATGAATGATATGTATATGGACCTTGTGCGGGTTGTTGGCGAGCGGGGAGCGCCCGAATACAGGGGTTGAGAGGGTGTGTGACCAATTTTCTTGGGGCCGTTTGGGTGTCTGTTAATTCTGGGGGTCTAATCTTTGGGCATTGTCGTTCTTTGCCTGTTACGTATGAGTGGCAGCTATGTGGGGACTATTCCTCCGGGGGTTGTGTTGGTTCTTGGTGATGGTGTTTTTAGTATAGTAAATCAATTGCCGTAGGATACGATAGCTTGTGGCTGCGGGGACTGGGGTTGGGGGTCACTTGCTTGAGGGGTTGGGGGGGTTCCCCACACCCCCCCATTTTTTTTTAAAAAAAATGAAAGACTTAATTAGCATAGCGAGTGACTTTTTGTGATCCTCATATGATATTGTAGTAAGCTATCATAACTCTCTCGATTTACATCACTATAGTTGACAAATAAAAAAACCAATAAAATCAAGCCTTTACTTCCCCCCCCACCCACACTCCCGGAAACTTCCCCAAATTAAGCAGTGGCACTATTCCCACCCCCATTCAACAACGGCTCCCGTTCGTGCACTCCCACGCTATTCCACTGCTTCCCGACAAGATCATTCTGCCAAGTCCGCCAACTACTCTCCTTCTTGCGTGGGGCCTGTTGTCCCGGCCCGATGGCCGACCTGTAGTTGGTATTCTTGGGACGGTACTTCGGGTCCTCGAGTTCGCGCACGTGCGCGCTAGCGTGTATAGTCGCGCCAGACGGCAGGTCCCTCGACTCGCCGCCGTTGGGCGGGATGCGCCGGGAGACCCACTTGTCATCCTCAAGCTCGCGACGGGAGAATATGGGTATCCATTCTGTTGTCACAGGTTAATACGGTTTTACGGTTTGGCGTAAGGGGGTGGGAGGAGAAGGAGACCTATCAGCCACCAGCCAAAAACGTTGGTAAAGGTAAAGCCCTTTGCGAATGCCAGTGCGTCGTGTATCTTTCCCAATACGGCAGTACGCGCGACGTGCGGGCTCTGCACTGGGTCGTGGTGGGGGATATTCCCTGCCTCTTCGAGCCAGGCGAGGGGTTTCTCCACGTTCGGCAGATTCTTCATTTCGTTTATCATCCAGGCCAAGGGTATGTCGCTCAGCAGATGCCCGTTGCTGTCCGGTACCCACCCGCCGCCAACGTCACCGTGGTTCCCCGGAAACCAGACCTCCTTGATGTCGTGCCCACGCTTATCGTCGAAGAGCGCTGGCTTGAACTTTGCCCGCCGCTCGTCTATGGAGACAGCATGGCGTACGTGAATCGCCGGCGGGATGGAGATGTTGTCGAAGCTACGACGCAGTCCGGGAATTTCGAAGCTACCAACTGAGTTCACGGAGTCGAAGAGTCCTAAAAAGCGGATTGTCACATCTTTCCGACAGAAGGTGTCGCGGAAATTCTCCATGAAGCTTTCAGCTTTGGGGTCACGGTCCTCACGCCGCCGCTCATACTTTGCGTATGTGTCCCAGGCGAAGTTTATCATTTCCTCGTTACCCCTGGACAGGAGGCCGATGGATTGCACCATCTGTGCCAGGAATCGCGCTGTGTAGGCGCCCCGTGAGAAGCCAAGGATATAGATATCGTCACCTGGGGTGTAGTAACGCATTATGAACTTGTAGCCTGAGACTACGTGGTCTGCGAAGGATATTCCTAGAGCTTCGTCTAGTGTTTGCGTGATGTAGTCTGTGAATGTGCTCCATATTTTCGGGGTGAAGCTATTTGTCCCCGTAACGTAGGTCCCGATACCGGCTTTTTAGGGTTAGACGTGTTCGACTCTTAGGAGGGATCCTTCCCTTGGGGAGAAAGGAACTTACGTTGGTAGTAGTGAAATTGACCTTTGGTGCCCCTGGCAAGCAGTTGATATATCTTCACGATATTGGTGTCCGAGGCATCACCAGTGAACTTGTTTCCTGTACCATCGAAGCAGAGAACAAGACGTGAAACTTTTGGCTTCTTGGGAGTAGTGCGCTGAGAGGGAGATCTCGCTGCAGAGGCCTCAGCAACAGTGGGGGCTTTGGCGCTGCCATTCTCGGTCGGCTGTTCTGTTGCCATAGTTTGAAGTATGAGTTGGGGATGGGGTTTGGTTCGAGGAGCTCAATTTTTCTCCCAAAAAGCTAGAATATCAGAAGACCGGAAAAGGCTATGGAGGAGGAGATAGAAGTGCTAAAGACCCGGCGGGGATGCTAATAAAAGAATTCACATTATGGTTTCCCAATTGGAAGAAACCCTTCGCAGGGAAAAGTAGTGGAATGTCAACGGGTAGGTCAGTCAATCCTCGGAAGGATGGATCTCCGAAGGGAGGAGTTCTCTATCAGCTTGCCATACCACGATTTTCTGCCCATGACTGACTGACATACCCGAGTTGCGAATGCTAAAAGCAAAGAAAAAAAAAGCCTATTCGGGTCGAAAGGCAATCTTTCAGCTGTTCATGTACCGTACGGTGCAGTACAGTTACAAGCATATCCGACCTTGTCTAGAGAAGGTCTGCAGGAGCCCAAAAGGCGGAAACAAAATTAGCCTTCTGTGGGTGTCCCGGAATTGTGCCATTATTACCGGCCGGTTGATCAATATTGGGGTTTTTTTCCTCCTTTTTCTTTTCTTTTCTTTTCTTTACGCCCCCCTCCTTTCCCTCACTGACCGATTCCCGCTGCTCAATTGGTGCGGTACTCGATATCTCACGCTTGGTGCATGAACCTCCCCCCGCTCTTCCAATTGAGAGCGGAACGAATAAATGATCCGGGCCAAGATTTAGAGGATATTTTCGAGCTCGATAAAAAGTGCTGTACTCGTACTCGAGTATCGGGGGGGGGGGGAGGGTGGTGTAACCAACCGGGGATTTAATGAGTAACCGGTGTCTTAGAAATTTCACTACAGTACGAAAACGGCGATGGCTTCCCCACAAGTTCTGATGTGCAGAATGACGCGGGCGGTCAGCTGCGGAGGAACCTCGCCAAAAATTCCTTGGTCAAGCGGTCGCAGATCCATCGTTCCATGCTGGCCTACCAAGACCAGATACATATATAATACAGTAATAAGTTCGTCGATTTACTCGAGCGTAGTACTGCGCAGTGCTCGTGTTTCTTCTTATCGAAGCCGCCAAGAGCCTGCTTTGGGGGGTAAGTTAAAGCGTACAGATCAGCCGCTCACGGAATGGCCTCAAGTTAACCGTAGCCTGCACTAAGATTCTCAACGGCCCATTGATTGTAAGAAGGGGAGAGGCTACCTTATTGTAGGTAACTTATCCCTCAATAATCCCCGACATCGGCGCTAGGTAGACAGAGGCGTCGGCACTCGAGGACAGTGCCGGTAGCACACTCTCACAATAAGCAACAGTATACAAGTACAGGTACGGTACAGTACACGTAGATGGCTTCTTGGCGGTGTAATACAGGTTTCCCGTTTTGAACTAGCTTTTGGGGACACCTAAGGCTGAACGAATTTGAGTCGCATCGCGCCGACTCAGATCGTAGGTAGGGTCGCACTCAATACCTTCACAAAACTGAATCACCCACAAGTAGCAAGCGGCCGTCAAGAAGTTGGCAGGCCATCGGTTCTCCACACATTTCCGGTTGCTTCTGGACCAGAGAAAACGCACTGGGGTTTGCTGTGCTGGGATATACCTTGCCTTCTCGTCTCCGCCAATGCTTCGGAACCTATATCAACCATATAGTGATCTGGGCTGCGTTTCCTAACGAAAACACACGCCTCGGCCCGGAGAGCCCAGAGTCGGCAGCCTACTTGTGGCCAATCGCTTTCACCCCATTTCCAACAGGGGCGGCCTCCGTTCGGGGCCGCTGGTGACCGCCCCGCTCTATTGTTATTTTGAGTAAGCACAAGAGGCAAGCGCCCCGGGATACAGGTACCCATCGCTGCGTCATGTGTTTCTCTATAAAGTTCAAAGAGAGTAAAACTCCCGGAGAAAAGGATCTTCATACAGGAACCCTCTCACATTCAGATTTGGAATGGCCTCGGGAGAAGAAGATATGGTGGTAACTGCCAAAGTGCCGCAAGGGAAGGTGCTCTACCTTGGAGGAAAAAAAAAAAAGCTTTGGGTCCCTAGGATTGAATGGCCTCAGCTCAATTGCCGCCCATTGTTGGATTTCCTCTGCACTTAGAGGAGTTAAGGCACGAGCCATGCAATTTGTCGGGAAGAAAGGGATTCCGAACTCTGGTGAAACGATCCAGTCATGATTCTCTCCCCCATACTGCCTTGCACATGCATGAGATGCCTATGCCAGCAGTAGCTCAGCTCTAGCCATCTCGTGTCTAACTGGATAGGAAAATGCTATCCTCCACGACCTATCTCTCCCGTGTGGTTACTTGTGACTATAGGTAGCAAGACCACCAATAGAAAGTGAGGGGTCACTATCACCTATCGTGCGAAGATCGATCTTCGATGCGAATTGGCAGCAGCGCTATATTTTATGCTGTACGGCCTTCTCCTGCTAGTTTCCTAATTAAAAAAGTAAAAATGGGCAAAAAAAAAAAAGAAAGTAAGGAATAAGCAGCTGAAAACAGAGTACTGACGGCTGATCTCGTGGTTGAACTGGCTAAAGACCACTCCTGGTAAGATTGATGTTCCCTAGGATATAAGCAAGAGAGGTAAGGAGTACATATTAGGGTCGAGATATCCTCTAGAAAACCGCAAAATTGACCTTTTTTTCTCACAGCCTTTCCGAGATACCAAATCACTCCTATTGCAACCTTATTCCCCTTCGGAACAGATCAAAATGAGTTTTCTCGGACTCTTCGGGGGTGGTTCCTCCGCGAACCCTAACGCTGAATATGGAGACGAAAGTGCGGCTACCCAGGAGATCACTTACACCGGCATCGCGGAGGATATCAAAGCCTCTGGTGGGAAAATACCAGAAGACTTGAAACTGTTGCTCGAGACGGGTGTTCAGAAGGCGTCAAAAGGACCAGTTGATGATAGGAAGTTGGTCGTCAGTATACTCATTCTCAAATCATAGGTGTTCCCGCGATGATGTGAATACTTTCGAAATGTTAACATGATATGTTTCTCATCGGTAGATGGAACGGCTCATCGGGCTTGTGGCATCATTACCACAGAATTCGGCCAACCGAAAGAAGCTCACAAGCACAATTATCGATACCCTATGGGATTCGCTCCAGCATCCCCCCCTTTCTTACGTAGGTGATAAGTATCAATATCGTCAAGCAGATGGCTCTTACAATGTTAGTTTTCCCGAGCGGCCGTGAGAGTGGAGTAGTATGCTGAACATCCGCAGAACATCATGTATCCCGATCTCGGGAAGGCTGGCACGGAATATGCACGGACAGTCCGTCAAGACAAGAAGCTCTATGGAGCCAAACCGGATCCTGGATTGCTCTTTGACCGTACGTGAATCAACCCGGAAAGATACCCGCTCCTATTGACTCCTGGTATAGTGCTCATGGCTCGAGGGGACAATTTCAAACAAAACCCCGCCGGAATCTCAAGTGTACTCTTTTACCATGCTTCGATAATTATCCACGGTAAGCAATGGTCCCCTAGGGGTCTGTATAATGTTTTCTTTTTTTCCTGCGCTGACAGAGACCAGATGTTTTCCGGACGGATCGAGAAAATTTCGCAAAGAGTGAGACATCCTCATATCTCGATCTTGCACCCCTTTACGGTAGCAACCAAGAAGAGCAAGACCAAATCCGAACAATGCAGGATGGCTTGATCAAACCAGACACCTTCTCGGAGAAGAGGCTTCTCGGTCTTCCCCCAGGAATTTGTGTCCTCTTGGTCATGTACTCTCGCTTCCACAATTACGCAGCGAAAACATTAAAGGCAATTAATGAAAACGGACGTTTTTCATTGCCTAGATCGCATACCACCGACACTCCAGAGGCCCAGGCCAAGAATCTGGCGAAGCTGGATAACGACCTTTTCCAAACTGCGCGATTGTGAGTGGTCTTCTACCGAGACCTGTCCACACCATCCCCGGTAGATCTACAGCGAGCGCTAACCCGAGACTTTATTAGGATCACCAATGGTCTCTACGTAAATATCAGTTTGCATGAGTACTGCAACACCCGACAAGAGAGTGAAATTTCACTGCTGATAGCCTCCGTTATTTAGTTATATCCGCGGAATTGCGAATCTCAATCATTCCGACTCTACGTGGACTCTTGATCCCCGCGTAGAGATTGACAAAACTTTTGATGGAGAGGGCACCCCGAGAGGTGTTGGGAATCAGGTCTCTTGCGAATTCAATCTTCTTTACCGTTTCCATTCCGGGGTTTCCAAACGTGACGATGCCTGGACCAAGGATTTCTTTGGGAAAATTTTCCCAGGACAAGACCCTACTACCATTGGAGTGCCCCAGTTGTTGCAAGGTCTCAAGATCTTTGAGAAAGGCATTGCAGAGGATCCCGCGAAGCGGACCTTCGGTGGCCTAAAGAGAACTGGCGCTGATGGAACCGGTGCTTTCAGCGATGACGATCTTGTCAAGATCCTCAAGGAGAGTATTGAGGATCCGGCTGGTAAGTGTATCTATACGATGTTGGGTATTGCGGGTTGGATTGACGTGAAAAAATAGGAGCCTTTGGAGCGAACACTGTTCCCGAGATCCTTAAGCCTGTAGAGGTTCTGGGAATTATTCAAGCCCGGAAATGGCAGGTTGCCTCATTAAACGAATTCCGTGCATTCTTCGATTTGAAGAAGCACAAGACCTTCGAGGACATCAACCCCGATCCTTATGTCGCAAATACGCTGAGGAAGCTCTATGACCACCCTGATATGGTGGAAATGTATCCCGGAATGTTTTTGGAAGACACTAAGCCCAGAATGGACCCTGGAATGGGGCTTTGTAAGGGCTCTAGAACCCGGTTACCGAAGGCCACCTGCTCACTGAATGATAGGCGCTCCATATACCGTTACACGTGCAGTCTTTTCCGACGCCGTCACATTGGTCCGCAGCGACCGGCACTTGACCCTAGTAAGTCATTGAAGGGAGGGGCTACTCAGTCCCTACAAAGGCTTACAAAAATTAGGACTACACTCCGGCCAATTTGACCAACTGGGGGATCACAGAAGTAGCTCAAGATTACGATACCCTCGGGGGGGCTAAGATGTTTCATTTGATCCTGAACGCCTTCCCATCGTACTTCAAGTACAACTCTGTGTACGCCATGCAGCCATTCTACACGCCAACCGAAAGCCGCAAGATATTCGATAAGTTTGAAAAATCGCACTTGTACTCGTTTGACCCGCCAGCAAAGACAGCCTCACCAATCCCCATTCTTACCCATGCTGGTCTAAAGCGTATTTTAAACGATCAAAAGAACTTCAAGGTTCCGTGGGGAGAATCGATGGAGGCATTGAATAACGAGAATGACTTTATGCTTGCTGGTGATTTGAGTTCACATACTGCGCAGAGGAACCTCGTAGGAGATGCGATCTACGACGTCACTGGCTCAAGGAAGCAGTTCAAGGACTATACAGAGGAAATTACCTTGAAGCTTTTGAAGCGGGAGGTTTACCAGCTTGGAAAAGTCCCATTTAGCCAAGTTGACATCGTTAGGGAGTAATAACACCCCCTCCCTATCATCGGTTCGAAAGAAAAAAGGAAGCTAAATTCTTATAGCATTGGAAACTTGGCTTGCTTGCATTTTGCTGCATCGTTACTCTACCTACCATTGAAATCTGATGAGAACCCGAATGGCCAATATTCAGAGCTGGAATTGTACAAGACATTGACTGACCTGACCTGGTTTGTTTTCTCCGATTCAGATCCAACGAAATCGTGGGAGCACCGCCGCGAGGCTAAAAAGAGTATCGATAAGCTCGGAGAAGTCATGGTTGGAGAGATCAAGAAGTTCAAGACCCCGCTTGGCGTTTGGAGCAAGCTCACAGGAGCTCCCGGTATCAGGCCACCCCCTCCATCTCTCAAGGATTACGGTTCCAACCTTGTAAAGAGGCTTTTGGACTCTGGAAAAAGCGTGGAGGACGTCGCCTGGATGCTATTGTGGAGTGGGTGCGCTTTCGTTGCCAACTCTGCTTGTGCAGTAGGTATCCCCCATTCCATTTGCTCCGGAGGGCCCACGCTGACACTTCGATAGTTCGCCCAATTGATCGATTTCTACCTCCAAGATGACAACAGAAAGCATTGGGCCGAAATCCAACGTCTCTCAACTCTCAACACCCCCGAAGCTGACAAGCTTCTAACAAAGTACACCCTGGAAGGCACCCGTCTCTCCAACTCCCTCGGAATCTTCCGCAATGTCGAGCCCGTGGACTCTCAAGCCATAACCATAAAGCAGCTAGGACAGGACGTCGTCCTCAAGAAGGGCGACAAGGTATTTGTCAGCTTCGTCTACGCATCGAAGGATGCTAGCGTCTTCCCCGACCCACTGGAGATCAAGCTCGACCGACCGACCGAGCTGTACATCACCCATGGAGAGGGACAGCACCAGTGCCTCGGCAAGGATATCAATATCATCCAGAACACGTACATGCTGAAGACCTTGGCGAAGTTGAGGAACTTTAGGAGAGCTCCGGGCGATGAGGGTAAGCTGAAGTTTATCCCCAAGGCAGGTGGTATCAAGCTTTACATGAATGCCGATTGGAGCAAGTTCACCCCCTACCCAACTAGTATGTTCTCCTCATTATATCCCCCCACGATCTTTTATGATACTGACTAGTTTATAGCTATGCGGGTACAATTTGACGGGCCGATCGTCTCTTAAACGTAGTAGGACTGGAAAAGGGTGTTTTTAAGGGCATTGGTAACATTGAGATTGGATACCTGTATTAGGATGGGAATATGTTTTTTTTTTGTTTCTTTCCTTATTTTTTCCCTTTCTCTGGTCATCTCTTGTTCCTTGTCGCTGTCCTCTATTCCGGGAATTCATGTCACCAAATTGTTCAAGTTGTCACGGGCTATGCCATTTACTCGGTACGAATACGATTGATTTCCTCTTCCCTCCCGATGGCTCGTATACCGGTACAGTACAATGGAACATAACCCCACCTACACACACCTGAACCGTAAGTAATTTAACCACTCGAACGAAAGCCAACAGCCAACAAAGCACACCGTACAGTACACCTCCCGAAAGGAGTCAAGACCCGCTCAACTCAACTCGAGGGCATCATACCGGTAATGTACAGTACTATGAAAGCAACACACCCGAACCGAACCGAACCGAACCCATCCCCACATCCCCACCCCACTATTTAAACGAAATCTTTCGAGCCCCAGCACACCCTAGTCACCGTAACTCCCATTCCGGAGATATGATAATCCACAAAACGTGTATGACACCTCCTCACATCCTCACCTCGTGAAGGAAAGAAAGGAAAGAACCCTAACCGTACCGGTACGGTATGGTACCCTCCCTACTCTAATGGAAAAAGGGGAAGAAAAAAATCATATCATGCCATACCATACCAATACCCCCCATTTCCATTCATCCATCTATCCATTGATCCATCCATCACATCCCCCGAGAGTCCGAGGAATGCCATAATATCAATCAATCACAAAGCCCAGAGAACAAAGCGAAGCAAAATAAAATAAAGTAAAGTAAAGGCGTTGGTAAGAAGTGAAGGGGGGGACTTTCAAAGCCAAGTCAGGGATACAATAAGTTACCCCAACTATTATTATATCATACCGTGGCCAACCGCCTACCGTAGCTTACTCACTTACGTGATTTATTTACCGGATCTGGGCCCATGTTCAGGTATCGTGCTTGTATAGTTCCCGCACCATACTGCCATACTATCATAGCACGCGGGGTGCTGGTTCACCCATGGTTTGTTTGTTTGGGCTGCGGTGGACGGGTAGAATGGAGGCTACCCATGATGGTCATGATGGGGCGCGGATATCTTGGTGCCGTGTTGATAACCGAGATACAGGTATAGTACGATGGGGTGATATATTCCGGAGGAGTGAAGAAAAAAAGTCCTGTTTATTCTTCGGAAATGTGCTGGTGGCGAGTAATTACTGAAAACTACAAGTAAGGAAAGGTATGTTTGAACAAAGCGAGTGAGACGGAACCAACGAAATGAGAAAGAAAAAAACAACCGAAGGCTATGCAATCCCATCCCATCCCATGCTATCCCATCAAACAAAAGAAAAGGCAAATGAAAGCAAGTGTTCTTTTAAAAAAAGAGAGCGAGTAATACAATACAATGGTAGTGGTCAAGTGAGTAGCTCGCGATGTATCTTAGAACGCAGCAATCATGTCCTCCCTCCTCCTCCTCTCCTCCTGACTAATCGGATATGGTGGGTCTGCGGTTGCGGAACTGCTGCTGCTACCAGCGTTGGAATGATTCGACGCACCGCTCACTTTCCGGTGCGCAGGGTGGATGCCCAGCTGTGCAGGGTGGTTTCCCAACTCAGCCGTCCGTGGGGCGAGCGACGAGGTAGCGGCAGCTTTACCGTCGAGGACGCCGCCGACGACGGAGTGTGCCTGTGTGGGCACTTCTTCGAGGTTTAACGTCCAGATCCGTAGGTCCTCCTCCGCGTCGTATAGGATTTGTCGAGCCTGTCTTTCCGAGTTAAAGGGTTCGTGGGTGTCTCCCGGGACGACGGGGGTGTCGTTTAGTAGATTTAGCATCCGTCGACCATGCTTAGCTAGGATTGCTTGCTTTTCCGCGCGTTCCACCACTGCTGCAAAGTGTTGGGCGTAAGCTTCCTTTAGCTTTGCTCGAGTGACGTTGGTGAGTTGGGCTTCGGCGACTAGATTTTCGGCTTCTGCACGGACGAGCTCCTGCTCCAGGGTGACCAATTTCGAGCTGGTGGGTTCCTTATATTTTAGTCGAGCAATCTCGTCCTGGACCTTTGTCTTGTGATCCCGACTCGGTTGCACACCACTCTCGGTGTTGCGGATCTGCTTAAGAATGCCCCGATAGTCCTCCAGATTCTGTGCAAAAATGTCCTCCTGGGCGCCGATCTCTGTCAGTATCACACCAAGCTTATCGCTCAATTCCGATACCGCATCGTCACCAGTTTGCTCGCCCCATTCGGACAATTGGGTAGCTATCGACTGACGCTCATGCCCGGCTGATTCGTAGGCGTTGATCACGTAGTTCTCGCTCTTGATCAGGCGGAAGAGGCGCTTCGACAGCTCGGGTTGGTAGTTGCCGCGTAAGCTGGCGAATGTGAATCGGTGCCTCTTGGGCGGGGCGGGAGTGTCCGAGCGAGATTTGGAGGAGCGGGCCGAGAGACTGCGGGTTCTGCTTCCATCGGGTGAGCGTTTCGGACTCGGGGAGGGCTTTCGAGGAGTGTAAGGGGGTGGCAGAATAGCCATGTTGCTTATTACGCGTGAGGGTGAAAGGGGGGGTATATTATGAGTGGGGGAGATCTCAGATCTTGTGATGGTGGCGAGCACGAGAGTATGTGAAAGTAGGAAGGAAGGGAGAAACAGGAAGGCCGGCTTACACTTCAGGCATTTGCGGTGGCTGGGTGGATTGCTTCTTATATGTTTTTTTTTGTTCTTCCCCCCTCTGTTGCTCACTGCTCTGTTGGAGCTGTCCTATCGTCTCGTAAAAAGCTATCTGGCTGTTTGACTATCCGAGGTGTTGCCTCCGATAGCGTCCCGATAGACTGGTCCGAAACAGCCCCCCAAAGAAAGGAAGAAGCGCGCGGAACCTTGACCTACCCGGTTACCCTTCGTTCGTTTGTTCGTTCAAGGGGTAAGGCGAGCCCGAAAGATCAAAAATATCCGAATACCAGTAGAGAAACCGTCCACAAGCAATTGGGTGAGAAAATAGAAAGCGAGGGATGTGATGGTAAGGGGAGGGGGAAAATGAAAGGGGGGAAGGAGAAAGTGGTCGAAAGTGTCAAGTCCCCTTCCAACTCGAGTAAAAAGCAGGAATGGTGCCCCCCAACGTCATACCTGCCACAGCTAACGTTTCGCGGTGTACGAGTACAGTACGGGAATAGGTTACCAAGCCATTGTGCGGTTCGGTTGAGCGAACCCTTGCAGCGGCAAGCGGAGATCGCTTGGCCCCTCTGCTTTATTTAAGCCCCTTTGCCTGGTGAAACTGCGCGCTTAGGGATGATTGCCTGATGGCCTCTATTTTTGATTGGGGGCTCATTCCGGTGTTGTGATCTACCCCTTGCCCGTGTAAATTAAGGCACCGTTATCATCCGTACCGTTGCCAATCCTTAATACCCCTGTTCAATGGATTGGCTGGCCGGACGGTCAGCTGAATTGTGATCTGTTTTCGGGTCATGTACCGGTATGTATGGCCACGACTCGATATTCTGATGAAACCATTTTCCAACTCCAGCATCAGATGAGGGTTTCATTTCCCCGGATTGACTTGCCGATGATGAGGTGGATGAGGTTTGGATTTTAGTATCTTTGTTGTGTCAAATGCTGCCTCTCGTCCGGTGACTTCTTTACCGCTCTGACTGGATTGGTTGGTTGGGTTTTCTTGATACTGCCCTCGTCGCGCTTCGGGGGTAAAGTGAGGTTAGGTGAAGGGAGGTGCCAGCCGGATATCATGAAGACTTTGCTGACTCTGTATTTTTGTGGTGTTTAATGATTTGAAGGATGGGTGAATGCAAAATACGTCGCCGCTCTAGTTACGGTACTTGGACCATTGTCAAATGTATTCATTACTTTATCTGCTACAACTGCCGACCGCTACTAGAGTCTTATCTACAATGCCATTCAACCAGCCTCATATTATCACAGTGCCAGTAAACGACCCCCCCAGTAATCTGGCGCTAGTGACTAAAACATTCATATCTTTTAGGGTCCCACATGACCCCGATTCCAATAGGAAAGGGTAGAAGATTTGGCCGTTCTCACATGGACCCGCTATATAATTCACTTTCTCCCCTATTGGGGGGGGGGGGGGGTGGTCATGATCCACCTACCTTCTACGCAACACCCCCCTTCGGTATTCGAGAATCGCGACAAGATTCACAAGATATCACTCTCGAATCCAACTCGACAGGGCGCCCGCAAATACCACAAGCTTCAAACCGGATATTTCGGGGGGGGTCAACAGAGAACTCTTATAGAAATGCCCGGGAAGCACGCGAATAAACCGAGAAAGCCAGATTCAACCTACTCGTGATCAAGAATGAAGTTAGGACAACATTAGACCCCTGGTATGATACTACCTAATTTCGCCCTTCGGAGAGCATAGGGGGTGAAGGGTTATGTGCTAATATATGGACTGCAGGCGAGCTGCCAGTGGAGAGAAAAGTGGATAGGGGACTCCCCGGATGGCACGAGTTTTTTTCCGCCACTATACACTCCCTCACCTCAACCGACGGTCCCGCACCGGCACTCTGGTCCTACCCACCCACCACATCACGGTATGATATCACAGGGTATACTACGCCCCCAACAACCAGCCTAGTCCGGCCCTGCCGGAGAGCATCGTGAGCGTCCAGCGGATGAGAACTGACGGCCTCATCCAAAACTCAAATCCCGGGAACAGGTTACCGGGTGTGCGCTCCAGCGGATAAGGGCTGACGAACGGGCCCAAGGAAGGAAACGGAATTGGGGAAGAAAGAAAAGGTCAAAATTTGGTGTTTCTTGACGGGTTCAGTCGAATGTGTGAGGGGTGCAGGTATATCGAGTTGGGATATGTCACAGTAAGTTCGGAGGAGGGATATGCAGGGAAGGTACTTGCGCGTTGGTTTACTTGACTCTGCGAGAAGGTGGGTTCCCGCTGTTAGGGTTTGATACCATGGGTGGTAGAGGGAGAAAGAATTAGGTCGGTGGAAATGCGGTGGGGAGTGAAAAGTGGGGTTTGGAGAGGGGTCATGGAATATCCTTCTGATATGTCACTGAAGACTTTTCGGACCTACTATTTCTACTAACCCTGTAATCTCCGGTCTGGGGGGGTTGATGTTTTCCCGCGCACGGTATGAGATCAACATTCTGTGAGATATGGACCCCTCAGCTAGTGTTCCCAATTCTCTCGATTGTCCATACCTGACGCACCGCGGGCTGAATGGCTAAGGCAGAGTGATAGCCCGACAGCGCACCCCAAGGGCCCGAAGACCCATGCTTTTGGCATCACCGGGGACTTGCCACCCGCTGCCCCTGCGCACCATGGCCGGCTCACTAAACCCGTATATTACAGCCCGACAGATTAAACGGGGACGACCACTAACTTCTGAAATGATCCTATCCTTCGCCCCCCACACTTACTACCTCCCGCAAACCCTGGCAGCAGTTCCAACGGTAAGTGCATTCCCACCACCGGTATACTACTCCCCACCAAGCTCCCACATGCAATCTCTTGCCAAAGCCCGAGCCAAATTAGCAAGAGTCAACCACGGCATGCTAATCCCAGATCCAGCGGTCCGACACATACCCTGATTATTCTCGTCCTAGGAAAAGCAGCAGAGGCATATCTCGTAGGGCTTGCACAGCCTGCCACGCTCGCGCTTAGGGAGAGCTAAAATCACTACCAGGGGTATGTTTCACACGGGAGCTGTGACGCCGGTAGTAGTTCCTGAGCGGGGAGTCTGGCGCGAGGACTTCAAGGGGTTGCTGGAGAGGTGTAAGGAGGAAGATTTAGAAGAGGAGGAGGAGAAGGAGGAAAGCTCCCTCAATACCGCCAGTGAAACGGCCAGCAAAGCTATTGCATCAAAGGCTTTATCTCAAATAATTCGGCTGATGGAAGGGGGAGCCGCCGTTGCATATATACCCAAGGGGAACGCAATTCGCGAATTCCTCAAGAAAGTCGCAAGAACCACCATGAAGAAACGGATGAGAAGCTCCCGCGCACAATAAACGGGCTTGAATTCAGTTACGATTACATGAGCCAATACACAGAGAACGCAAATACCTTACGGCCAACAAATTTCCACCACCATGAGGGTTCAAGTATCCTCCCAATATTTCTGAACCCAACAAACCCAGAGAATGTCAGCTCCCGAGCAATAGCCCGAATCTAAGAATCGAGTGATAACAAATGACCGCACACACATCTTACCAACTCCCTCCCTATATGTGCTGTTTCCTGGGCGCAATACCTATCTACTAACTCTCCTCGAGAAAAGATCTTGAAAGAGAGCTGCTCCAAAAACCGCCATCGGACATGCCCGGTAGGTTCACCCAGCGCGGAAGAATCCTTTAAGAACTGGAATAATTGGTACGGGACCCGACGACGTCGAAAATTCCCTCTCTCGGTTAGGGGTGGGGGGGCCAAAACACTCCGAAAACTGACCTTGAGCCCCCACCCCCCGCTCAAGACAAAAATATACCGGACCATTCCGGTAATGGCAAGTCCTATGTCCTAGCACAAGTACCAACTACCGTATTCGGGGATCTTGCGGCACGATGGGGGGCATCCGTATTATAGTCTAGCCGGAATAGGGGGACTTATCATCCCCCCCCTACTATAGCAAGAGGAAGCTAGACCAAATTTATTATGATACAGACCCCACGAAAACTTGAGATATTTTATTTTATCTCTACGGATGTGTAAAGAATTCCTTACGTCGACATTATTATCTGATAGAGCCATCAGTCACCCCACATCAGATACCGGTACGAGTAAAATTGTTGACGCCTTCAACCCTTGAAGTTGGGCGATAATTCTCTTGGCGAACCCGTCCGGCTAAAAACAAATCCCGCTCCGATGATTTCCCCCCCCCCCCCCGGCTACGGGGAGAGGAACCGCCCGGATAAACCACCGTATGATACTCGCAAGGGGATATTTTTGGATCGATCGAGCGTGATACTCGGGGAACTGGCGGATACGGACTTGGTTGCAGGGTTCGCAGTCAAGTCTTGTTACGGCAGCTCGGTACGTGCTAGCTAAAAGTCCTCACTGGGGTTGAACATCTCTTTGCTGATGGGACAGGCCCCGCGCCTTTTCTCACGTGGAACGCTGCGGGAGGTTGCATTTTACACTCCCCTCTGGTCGTCGTGATCTTCGTGAAAAGAAGTATTCCCATTTCGAAGACTTTTTCCGGGTGCTTAAATAAATGGTTGGGGGTTTGGTGGGGAGTGCATATACAGTAGACTGCTCACGAAAAAGGTGGATAGAGGAACGGGTATGTGGTAATTTTGGTACTGGACTAGCTGACCGCCATACCTTTATTTATTATTCGCATAGTGGAATGAAGCTATCGCTGGTGGGGAGAATAGGGGGAGAAGTGATCCTGAAAGTACGACATAACAAGCGAAAGGAAGCTATCTACACGGAACGGGGCATCATAGTGTGAGATCGAAATGGGGATCAACGAAGGGAAGGGGTGGTTGGGGGTGGTAAAGGAAAGTGGGAAATATCATACACGCGCCTTTTTATCCCAACTATCATACCTAGAATACAGGGTTAAATTTTTTCACGAGGTCACATCATTAAAAATGCAGAAGGTTTCCGAGAGTTAAATACATGCCCGGCATTGCATTCCGGAGACACAACAAATTGTGCACCTGGGGGATTCTCAAGCTAGGGATAAGGACTAGCCTAGAAGAGGTAAGAAAGGGTCAAGGAAGGAATGGCCGGGGGACCGTATTGTAGGCTTTGGGGGTTTGGGAAAGACGGGGATGAAGGGTGGGGGCTAGAGTGTTGGGGTACGACTGCGGGCGCGGTGCGGTAGTAGCAGAGAGCAGCGATTAAGGGCTAGAAGATGGTAGGATGAGCAGTAACTCGTTGACCTGGAGACTGACTAGGGTTACGGGTTCCCCCAGGCTAGCAGAAGGTTCACGACCCCTTCGTGTCCCTTCTGAGAGGCGTGAAAGAGTGGTGTATGACCACTATTGTCTGGACTGCCAGGGTTCACACCTTGCCGCCCCAGTATGAT